CTCCATCAGAAAGAATGACATTGCCCCATTTGTTAGGAAATGGAAAGGCCTGGAAAAAATTATATTAAGTGAAGTAAGCCAGGCCCAAAGAAACATAGGTCCCATGGTTTTCCTTATTTGCAATATCTAGTATATATATCTGAGTCAAGCAGAAAAGGTCAGATAAGGTGATGTTAGGGAAATGAACCCTAAGATATGTATTCAAATGTTTTTTTTTCTTTCATGCGATTGTTTCTAACACATTTATAAGATTATTTCTTTGTTGCTTTGTATGTCCCTCCCCCACAGTATAACCCCTGCTTTCACTGTATTTGATGTTGGTATAATTTGTGGAGGGGAAGGGGAAAAGCAAATCGTTTAAATAGGGATACAGGTGGACCCATTGCAACAATGAGATGTACAAGTCGTTATGTCGAAAAATGAACTTTACAACTTTGGTGGGGCGGGGGGGAAGGGTAGCGGGGAGGATTGGGTGAGCAGGTGCGGGGGGGGGGGGGGGGGGGGGGAGGATGGGAAGGGATGGGAAGGAGAAACAAAGGAGGAGGCTACAATGCTTGATAGGAAATGTACTCATTATCTTGCCCATGTAATTGTAACCCCTCTGTACAGTATTTTCACAATAGAAAAGTAAAAAGAAAAAAAGAAAATGATATGGACAAGAACTAAATCATAATGTTGAATGGAGAGTTTAAAAAGAAAATGGGAAAAGTTACAGTATTTTGTTGGACACATGAGAAAATATTTCCTTCCATTTGTGAAGAAAATACTAAGACATTTGAATAAAACTATTGGCACATTATAATTTCATATGTATGAAATGCAAAATAATTTTATAGTAAATATATTCAATGTAAAATAGAAAAATGAATGTTGATGTTCAATAAAATTTTAAAAATATTAATATAAGGTACATACACAATAAAACCCAAGTCAAATGTACAGTATGTTCTTGTTTGTGATCATTGGGTCATAGGGGATCTCTATGTGAAGTCTTTAAGGAACCTCCAAACTACTTTCCAAAGTGGTTGAACAAGTTTACACTCTCACCAACAATGCAGTAGGGTTCCCTTCTGTCCACATCCCCTCCAGCATCCTGTTGTAAGTTGATGTTAGGCAAAATGAACCCCAAGATAAGGACTCAAGTGGTTTTACTTTCTTGCTATTATTTGTAACATATTTATAAGGTGATTTTTTTTGTTGCTTTGTATGCCCCTGCCCCATGGTATAACACCTGTTTTCACTGTATTTGATGTTGGTATAATTTTGGGAGGGGAAAGGAAAAAACAAATTGTTTAAATAGGGATACAAGTGGACCCATTGCAACAATGAGATGTACAATACCTTATGGCGAAAAATGAACTTTACAACTATGCGGGGCGGGGGGGGGGGGGGGGGGGGGGGGGGGTCGAGTGTAGTCGTGGAGATAGGAGGGCAGGGATAGTAAGGGAAAACCAAAGGAGGAGGCAACAATGCTTGATAAGAAATGTACTCATTACCTTGTTCATGTAATTGTAACCCCTTTGTACGGTATTTTCACAATAAAAAAAACTTTTTTTGGGGGGGGTCTGGTCGTGGGACCTGAACTCTGGGCCTGGGCGCCGTCCCTCAGCTCTTCAGCTCAAGGCTAGCGCTCTAGCACTTGAGCCACAGCACCACTTCCGGCTTTTTTCTTTTTGTTTATGTGGTGCTGAGGAATCGAACCCAGGGCCTCAGGCATGCAAGGCAAGCGCTCTACCACTGAGCCACCTTCTCAGCCCTAAAAAAAAAACTTATTAATAAAAAAAAATTGAAAAACAAAGAACAAAATAGGAATGTTAAGTTACAATAAAGCATTTGGGGTCAATACAAAAAAAAGATAAAATAATGAAACAACCAAAAAATTGTACTAAATTACTGAAGTGAACAAAATATCACATACAATGTATTGGTAGATAGACAATTTTGAATATGAATACTTCCTTCACCAGCAGCAAATTGATTTTGATGAGAACAATTTCAATTTGTAGTATAAAAGTAATCTGAGCACCTGGATTTTATTTATATTCCTAAATTGACTCAGCAAACTTAGAACTTTTCTCTCTTTATCTATTTCTCAAAAACCCACAAAAATAGTAGGTGTGGTTTTAATGATTAAATTACTAAGCCTGTATGCACATTGCCTTTTGCAGATTTGTATTGAAGATATCTAAGTATTAATTCAATTACTGATATAAAACATGTTTGTAACTTGTGTGTTTATAATAGTCCTAAAGTTGATAGATAAATAGATAGATAGATAGATAGACTAATATATGGATGTGAAAAATATATATGCATCAATAAAACTTATACTGAGAAAATAAATTGTTTCCTATCTGATCAGTTGTATCTATAGGTTAATTATGCAATATAACTTGTAGGCTGCTTAAGTCAGAATTATTTCCTCTCCTCAGTTTCAACTAACATATTGCTCACAATGCATTTTTGCTTTTCATAACTTGGTAGTTTCTCCTTTTAATGCTATGATTGTAACCCCTCCCATTTCCCATTAATTAATTGAATGGAGAAAAGGGACTGGACTTTGCTTTTGTAAACTGATTTCTTCCAACACAAACCAGACAGAAGATACTCTTCTAAGTAACAATATGAGCTTCACTTTAACTTTCCAATATATCAGCTTGATACCTTGAGCACTTACCCTTATCAAAACCTTATTTCTTCTCATGTGAATTATAGAGAAGTTAGTTTTGATCATGCCCTTTTATTCTTTTATTGTAAGATTTAGTGAGATGATATAATATTAGAAGCATTCTAGAAATTCGATCACCTTATACACACAGTATTTTTAACATCATTGTCATTGATGCATTAGTCACACTTGGTGAAAAATAGGCTTCAATATTAATGCATTTATTATTCATTCAAGAATATATTTAGTGACACGTAGGTGCTAGGTACTTGCTATGCACATTATTACAGAATGTCAGTGTTGTAGAACTGAGATAACTGAGCTCTTCCTTGTTGTTTATGGAAGTCAGGAGGTTGTTTTTTTATGCCCTGTTTCTCTTTCTTTCTTACATTCAGTGACTGTTGTTACTACTATGAAAAAGTATTGTGCAGACTTCATTACCCAGATAATGATCACATATATTTATGCACAAAAAAATCAAAATATACCTTTTATTCTTTCATTCGTTATATAATACTGCTAACAAATTTAGTGGCTTAAAGCATTTTTATATATTATTTTCATGATGAAAATACAAACCACTCAATAATACTAAATCTTGTACTATAACATTAATAAAAGTATAAAACAAATGCAGACTTAAACAGTAACCTTTCATTAAAAAGTAAAGATTTTCCTAAATACAGTCATGTTTCATGAGTATATTTAAAAGTGATTTCATTTACTAGTACCATATCATATTTCATAAGACTAAAACATATAGAGACATACTATACAAAGAGACTGATAAAGAATAATGCATTTAATTGTAATTTTTAAATTTGTAGAAGTAGTATTTCCTTATTGTTTTTGTAACTTTTATCATTAATCTTCTCTGATCAATATATAATGTTTTCTGAATATTAAATTACCTTGTGAAACTGCCTTCATCACAAAGACATTTACATGCTATGAAATTATTCTTTTTTAAATAAGTTTTTTATTGTGAAAATAGTGTACAGAGGGGTTACAATCACACGAGCAAGGTCATGAGTACATTTCCTATCAAGCATTATTGCCTCCTCCTTTGTTTTTCCCCTACCATCCCTGCCCCCCCATCTCCATGACTACCCTCCCTCCGCCCCACTTCTCAGCCAAAGTTGTAAAGTTCATTTCTCGACATATTCTTAACTTTTCTTTTTTGTTTTTTGGTTTTTTTTGGGGGGGTCTGGTCGTAGGGCCTGAACTCTGGGCCTGGGCGCTGTCCCTCAGCTCTTCAGCTCAAGGCTAGCGCTCTACCACTTGAGCCACAGTGCCACTTCCATCTTTTTTCTTTTTGCTTATGGGGTGCTGAGGAATCTAATCCAGGGCCTCAGGCATGCAAGGCAAGTGCTCTACCACTGAGCCACCTTCCCAGCCCTTAACTTTTCTTTTTAACACCCATATGTTCTCCCTAGTAACTGTGGGGTCACAATTCCCTACTGAACTATGAAGTCAAGAAGAGAAAGGAAGGGAGGGAAAGAAAGGTGGGAGGGACAAAATCCATTTACAACAATCATATACTAACTGGGGAAAAGAAATTATGATTTCTTAGAATATACCTTTGCTTTAAAAATGATAGGAAGGCTTCAAAATTCAAGTGTTACTGGTTCTTGAGTGTTTTTTTGAGCTATATATTTGCTGTGTATAATTTTGTTTTCAAGAAAGAAAATGTTAAGGAATAACTGTTAAAATCTGGAGACCTTGCAATAGTGTTAATCTAAAATAATACTCAAATTACTAAACAGAATGAATTTTAATTTAAGAAATAATTATCTCTGCATTAAATGTGAAGAATTCTACTGTCTTTAATACAATTTACATTAAAACAACCTTGACGTTTGGAACCAAATTATATTTGATATATATGTGTGTGTGTGTGTGTGTGTGTGTGTGTGTGTGTGTGTGTGTGTGTGTGTGTGTGCAAGTTTTATCTAATTAAATAAAATATCAACAGTTCATACTTACTAGAATTAGTTTCTTTGTATTTCCCATTTCCGTAAGTCTAATTACAGAATAATCTGGTATGTTGCATAAAGGACAAGTATCCTTGTTCATAATTAGAATAGGTTTATTTTGCAGAAAAATAATAGTTGATAAGCTATGGTTGTGAAATGTTGACTGATTCACAGATTATAAACATGTTTTCAAATGGTCTATTGAAATAGTTTGAATTGCATCTATTCAATTTATCATAAGCATGAATTCTTTTCTCTGAGTAACATGTTCCTTATTTACGTAGGTGGATTGTGTGCTTTCGAGTTCTTATACTCATCATATTCTTTTAAAATGTTTATCTCTTTTTAAAATACAGGTAATGGATTGGGAATTCGAATTGTGGGAGGTAAAGAAATCCCTGGACAGAGCGGAGAAATTGGAGCCTACATTGCCAAGATTCTTCCTGGTGGAAGTGCAGAACAAGCAGGGAAACTCGTGGAAGGTAAGAATAAGAGATCTCTTAGAGAAGGAAAATGAATGTGCTCATGTTGAAATTTTGTTTGGATGTCTATCTTAGGGCTTGACTTCAAGGCCTATGCACGTTCCTTTAGTTTTTTGCTCAAGGATAATGTTCTGCCCCTGGAGCAACAACTCCACTTCTGGATTTCTTGTAGTTAATTGAAGGTAAGAGTCTCATGGACTTTCCTGTCTGGACTGGCTCAAAACCATGATCCTCAGATCTCAGCATCCTGATTAGCTAGGATCACATGCGTGAGCCAATGGGCACCCAGCTCATGTTGAACATATTTTAATATGAAAGATTCTCTAGAGTGCTATATAGGTATGCCACCCTTCTTATGGATCTGAAACTTTGTACTGCAATATTAAAGAAGATACATGCACAGACATATTTATTTTATTTTCCGTTGCATTGTCCTTTCAGCAAGAGTATGTTTATTTTAAAAAACAGTTAAGATTTTTACTAACATAATTTTGCTAAAAAATTTTACTTATCTGGATTAATGTTTCATGTAAAAGAAGAAAATTATATTGAAATCAGGTAAGAAAAATCAAAGACTTAGTACAAACTAAGATCAATTCAGCAAACTACATATAGTCAGCTATCCAAATCATCTAGCACCTGTTTCAATAAACAATGCCACGGCATGGATTTGTATAGAGAGATTGATTGCTTTCCTATCATAATAACAAAAATCGTATAGACTATAATAGTATAAAACATTTACTCTTTGGCCCTTTACATAAAACCTGGCCAAACCCTTTGCTAGTGCTGCTTACTTTAAATCACATTTGCTTTATTACAGATATGCTTTTGAAGTCATGAATTTTATAGTAGAGCTAATGGGCGAAACATACACTTTTTATTATACTTATTTAGTAAAATATTAGAGTTGATTCTCAGACTATATAACACTAAATTTGTGTTGTCTATCAGATTACATAATTACTCTATTCTCCAGACTCAAACTTTTATATGTGTGTGTGTTTGTATGACAGCTCCTAATAATATCATTTACAATGAATAATGTTTATTGTAAAGGTTGATGTAGTAAATAAAATACTTTTTATATTATTCTAAATAAAATATGTTTGGAAATATATTTTCTCATTTCATTGTTTAACTTTTACCTAATATTTCTTTAATTGGGCTAAAAACAATTCACTATCAGGTTCTTCAATCAAATATATTGAAACTTACCAAAACAACCTTTGAATATTTTGGTAATCTAGAATAAATGCTCATAGTGCAAATATTCATTGCAGTGTGTGCTACAAGTAATGATGAAACTTATTAAAATAAGCTCTCTGTATTGCTTCACAATTTCAAATTTGATCATCATGGTAATAGGTTGGATTGGCCATGGTGGAATTATTTATAATGTACAACCAGGCAGCTGTTATAAATGGAACCATGTTTTAGTTGTTTTCTTTTAGTTGTTTGCTTTTAAAATTAACAAAAATAAGATTGAAAGCATCTCATTTAAAACATTTTAGTAGTATTCCTAAAGTAGGGAAAAATGGAAAGAGGCAAAAAGAAGAAAAAGACTGAATCGGAAATAACCATAATAAGCAGTACATAGGGTCTGTATGAGATTTCTGTTACTATAATCTTTTCATATGCAGTAATGTGTTTTTGGTGTTGCCAAGCTACCACTCTACCACTTGAGCCACAACTTCACTTTGACTTTTTGGTGATTTATTGAAGATAAGTCTCGCAGGCTTTCCTGCCCAGCGTAACTTCAAATGGTGAGCCTCAGATCTCAGCTTCCTGAATAGGCAGGATTGCAGGCATGAGCTGCCAACACCCTCCAGCTTATTATAGATAAACTGTGTTTACATTTATATTCACACGGTAAACACTAGAGGAAATGGAATATTCAGTTTTTACCTTAACGTGAATATTAGAATACTGTGATATGATTTGGCAAAGATTGTTGAATAGTTTATACGTAAAATTTTATAATCTTCTTTACATTAAAACAGTGCCATGGAAATAAAGAAATGCTACAACTTTGGATGATTTAAACACAGTATCAGGGAAGTATATGGTGATAAAATGATACACTATGCACTTGGTTTTTGTGGCCTTAAGTTTAGAAATTCAGTTTCAAAATGATGTCAATTCATTCAAGAGAGAAAACTGAAGTTAGCCTGAAATTATTTTTGTAATATTATTTTTGTAACAGCTCAATTAGCTATATAATAATTAGATTACTGTTTCCACTCTGCACTACAGTATTTGCCTGACTTTTGTGCTTTTTCTGAGTTTGCTGATCTCAGCTATGAAAGCATTTTCAGACTCATCAGGATTTTAAAACATGTACAGCACTCCATAACATTTATTCTGATCATGTTGACTTTCAAACTTCTTCTCGCCTTTTGTTTACTGGATTCATCCACTTAAAACATATTTACCTATCATGAAGGTTATTTGTTGTTGCTATCGTTCTTGTTGCTAGTCCTGGCTTTTGAACTCTGGGCACTATCCCTTTTTGCTCAAGGCTAGCACTCTACCACGTGAGCCACAGCACCATTTATGGCTTTTTCTGTTTATGTGGTACTGAGGAATCGAACCCAGGACTTCATGCATGCTAGGCAACCCCTCTACCACTAAGCCACATTCCCAGCACCTCATGCTGATTTTGTAATGCTCTAAAACCCGTTATATTCTTGTATATATGCTTGCTTTTAAAAGGAAAACGAACTCCCAGTGTATTTTCTGAGTTATTGCTCTGAATATTTGTTTTAAAAAGATATTTTGATGTAACTTTTTCTTGAAAACAATTTTTGAACAAGGCAATTTAGCTCATTCAATAATGAAAGAGACAATTCTACTTCAGAATGCTTAGAATTACCAATAATTGTTGCAAAATATTAGGTAATACTGATTGTGTTGGACTTAAAACAATAGTGGTATTAATTTCCATTAATCACTTCATTTACATTTTGTGAATCCATCTTTTGGTTTGGGTTCACCCTGAAGAGATTTTTCTTAAGCAATTCAGAAAATCTGGTATTTGAAGCATCTTAATCTTCTAGCACCTTATAATTTATTTCTGTTTCAAACATTCTTGAACAAATAACAAGCAGAAATGAACCTGCTACACGTTCTTCTCCCTTTTAATTGCGTAAGACTAGCTAGGCTTTGCTGGGAATTTGACTGCTAATCTAATTAAGTTTCTAAAGTGCTATTTGTTTTAGGATTAACATTTTAACATTTTTGAGACTAACAGTATTAAAGTTTGTCATGATCAGTAATGTTTACAGTTTTAAGTGATGTATGATATTTTTTCCTGTCCTTTGTTAGCAGTATTTCCCTGAAAAATTCAAATATCTAAAAGTACACTAGAATGTAATAAAAACGTTTAAGCATTTTAAATATTTAAACATGTAAAATGTAAATAAATATACTAAAATAGTAGGTAGACTCTACTGTCCATAAACAGTCCCCTATGCTTATGACATCATCAACACTACTTAGCAATAGAACATTTTTATTAACTTTTGAGGAAAAAAATGTGCAAAGTGGTCATTGTTTTCTCTGGCAGTACTATCACAACATTACAACTATGACCTTGACAGTTGAAAAATGTACACAAATGTACTCTAAATTTGTTTTTTCTTCCTAGTGTTTTTGTTGTTGTTGAAGTACCAAGTCTTTTTATTTTATTTTATTTTTTTGGGGGGGGGTCAGTTCGTGGGGCCTGAACTCTTGGCCTAGGTGCTGTCCCTCAGCTCTTCAGCTCAAGGCTAGCACTCTACCACTTGAGCCCCAGCGCCACTTCCAGCTTTTTTTTTTCTGCTTATGTGGTGCTGAGGAATCGAACCCAGGGCCTTAAGCATGCAAGGCGAGCACTCTACCACTGAGCCACCTTCCCAGCCCCAAAGTACCAAGTCTTGAACTCCCTTGTTATGTAGGCATGCTATCACTGGAGGAATGACCCCAGCCTTTTATGACTTAGTTATGTTTTGATAGCGTTTCATGTTTTTTCCCCTGACAGTCTGGACTGAGATCTTCCTATTTATTTCTTTTGCTTACCCAGGATGATTAAGGCACACCACCAAACCCAGCATGTTGTTATGATAGTGCATCAGCAAAATTTTGTTAACTGCAATCCTCCTAATTTTTATCTCCCAAGTAGGTGGGATTACCAGTGTAACCTTAGTGACTCCTTAACTATTCTTGTTGTTAATTTAAATACCAAAGTGACTCTTATTCTTGTTGTTAATGTAAATACCAATTACTAAACAAATGGGCTTATTACTGATGAGTGGAGTAAGGGGATGCCCAGTAGGGAAAATGCAGCACCATCTTACCCTGCAGTGGTAGAAAATAAGAAGGAAAATTTTCTCAACTAGTTCTTCTTTAGCCCGATAAACTGAGTCTCCTCTGTGGTTGAGATCTATTTTGCAAAAAGTACAAAATAGAAGAGTTTTAAACTTGAAGTTAAAATCTCAACTTGAAATAGTACTGTGTGAAATTATTTGCGTTCTGACACATCTGTTTCTGATTCATTTGCACTTAAATGGTGAGTGTATTTTGCCCTCAATCTTAAAAATTTCTACTGAAACAGTTCAGTGGTTGAATTTCTCGTTTTGCAATAACCACAGAAAGTCAGAGAATGATGTTTACAAGTGCATTAAAAGCAGCCATGATTTTCCATATCTCTAAGCTTCTCACCAATCAGGGAAATCTCCTTGCAAGGTTTACACAGCATTTCCCTACTTTGTCCTCATCTCACCCTTTCAAATGCCCAGCCCAGCATCTGACTTCTATGATTTAATCTCAGACTAGAAAGGGCATGGGGGAGGGGACACTCTTCCTTAGCATCCCTTGTGTGTATGCATTTCTACTTTTAATCAGGCACTTACCTGGAAATTTTACTGCAAATATTTGAGAATGCAGAAAACCTTTAGAGAATATTATAGCCAACAGTCCTCCACCCAACATACTGTGTGGTTGTCTTAACATTCGGCCAT